TTGGCAGGTTATTATTTAGATTTTTTTAAAAATTAATACTTGGGATACCGAAAAGGGGTTTGGATAGTGCAGCGGTACCAAGCTTTGCAGTCCGCCTTTTCTGTCCAAAGGGAATTCAGACGGGATTTTGTCCATCGAGATCCGAATGTTCGTGTACAACAAACAATCGCAGCTGTTGCACCACCAATTCAGGCAAATCCAACCTTTCTTTCGACTCGCAACTTATCGGGGCAACTTTGAGTTAGCATACGGTCACGGTATACTCCGATTATGGAGTGAATCAAATCCAGAAATAATCTACGAGACAGAACTTCATCCAGAACGAGTCACTATGTGGTACGCAGTTTCATCAAGGTGTATTATCGGGCCATACTTTGAAGAAAATGGTATAACAATAACTGTCAATGGGCACCATTATTTAAAAATGTTGAATAGTCAGACCCACACAAATTAGAGAACAAATTGATATAAAGAAACTCAACTTTCCGCTGGTTCCCAAGGTCACTCGATCTGACTGCTCCAGACTTTTTTGTATGGCGTTATGTTAAGCAAGAGGTGCACAAAACAAAACCAAGAAATCTGACTGAATTGAAGCAGTTCATTAAATCGATAATTGAGGCAACCCTTCAGACCGCAATGAATCATTTTCTAATTAGGTGGCGCATATGCGTGGAGGAACATTTAGGTCATTTACGGTCCATAATTTATAAAAGTAATTAATAATATAAAATAAAATGAAATTTGCTATACAATATAAAAAATAAAGGTGATGCATTGATTCAAAAGAAGTTATTACGGTTGGTTTTTGCAGTACGATTCGTGCGACAACATTCAGATCATTCATCTTGCAGTCAATATTAGCAAGTCTTCCAATTGTTGCAAAGCAACCCCAGACCATGAAAGTATGCATGCTTGACTGTGTGAAATATTTTTTGGCTGTAGTCTCTTAGAGGGCTCACACCACACCCGTTTAGGTCTTTTGGAATTTTTTAACTCAATTTTCGATTCGTCTGACTAAATAACACAATTCCAAAACGACTTTGGCATGTTAACGTAAGTTTTCGCAAAATTGAGCTGTTTTTTAATATTTGCAGCGCGAAGTAGATGTTTCTTCTTACAACACTCTTTTTTCGCATTCTGATATTTTTTGGCTTCTATTGCAATTTTTTGGTAATCTTGAGTAGTTATTTTCCGTTTTCGTTTCCATTACCTCCTTTAAAAGCGGCTTCATTGAAAAAGTCTACGAGTCAAAAGTTCTTTGTTTTGTAATTTGTAGACTAAAATTTAGTTACCCTTGACCTTAAATTACAATTTTTTCCCCAAAAAATAGATAAATTAACTACTGATGTTTACAAAGAGAGATTTTGCACTTTATTCTGTCGCAGTTCGCTCACAAAATGCCAAGTTTGATATTGGTTGCTTCTAACGGGATATGTACAACATCAAATTTACTACTGTTTCAATTAAAATTTAGGGAAATTCCCTATCAAATTCTGAGCACACCAGAGTTGCAATTCATTGCTTAAACTTAAAACTAAAAACTAACTTAAGATAAACATGTCTGCACTTTATTTTGTTTGATAGTGTTCGTGCTCGCACATTGGCTGATTATAATAAAAAAACTGAAGCGAAAATAGCTAAAACAACGCATAATTCTTAGAGCGCAAGAATCGGAACACTCGCTAAAAATATCAGGGTGGATTTGTTTGAGTAAATGTCATTAGCATTCCATATGTGGTAAATTGTAGTGCTAGGGAGCTTACGGTATTCTTCAATGCAGATTTTGGTTAATTTTCTTCTTTAAAAAGAAGTTACCATACTGGAAATTACATATATGATAAAAGAAGGTCGATTCTTTTTGAACTGTCATCGCCTCAAATTGTTGTTGACCTGTGGAAAACTGTTAACGATCTAATTAATTAAATTTGCTTCACCTAATGTTTTTTTTAAATTTCTTTCATTTTAGTTGTATTAATCACAGAAGTGTACTAGTTCTTGGGTAGAGTGCCAAGTTTGAATGGATTACCGATTTTAAGTGATATTTTACATTAAATGACATTCTGCACATTTAATGACCAAGCCCCCACACAAAATATGACCACATTTAATAGATCGTCCGCATTACTATCGCTAGTGGTGTCTTGATAAATAGCATAACCAGGCGAGCTATCCTAACCCTCACATTAGGCCGTGCCAGTAATCATCTCGATCGACTTTACAGAATACTACACCTTCGGGCTACAACTCGCTTCATGCCTGCTGGTAGAATTTTGAAAATCCGCTTGAAATTTTCAGCTAAGTCTTAGCAAAAGTGCGACGACCTTATGCCAGGGCGATCTCTGCGATTCCCGGATAATTAATCTCAATTTTTAGATGCGACAAAAAATCATTATAATCGGTCAAAATTAATAAAGCATTTGAAGTCTTGCAACCTCTCCGCTAGTGTGAGCAAGTGTGAATTACTGCCAAAAGGTTGAAATCCAATTATCGTTTGTCATGTCCCCTCGGACCTGAAGATGCTGATTAGGTTAGTTAGGTCATAGGATTGATCCTCGCATGAGAGGTACCGCATGATCCCACTTGGACAGCTGTGAACGCTTTTAGAATAACCAGATGCTCCTAGATCGACGAAGCATTCTGAGTTAATCACAAATTTGTTTGGCTAAATTCATCCGCCATAATATTTAGTTGCACCTAGTGTGATCCCATTGAACAGTGACTAGTTAGAACGCTTACACAGAATAAAAATCGGAAACCACATCTAGTTTCCAAATATGTACATATGTATATTCAACATTGAATTCTTGAGGTTGAGGTGAAAACACATTTACCTAATATATCAATTTCGAACCTCCGTTTGAGTGCCGATTGATGCCATATATATTATATATCGGTCAATATGTAAGATGTCTTAGCTAAATTAAACGAACGTATAATATCGGTTGTCCTGCAATCTAATGCCGAAATGTATAAAATCGGTCCACGATCTACCCCAATATGTCGGTCGAAGTGTAAAATATCTTCAGAAAATAAGATAACATGCTCTCGAGTATACTTGAGAACTATCAAAAGTTAATGCAATCACTAATAGACTCGGTATAGCAATTTCCGACTTTCTATCTGATGTTCGTGTATGTTGGTCTAAATGTGGGATAATAATATTAGGTGGACATGTTTTTTAAATGAATCATCGGTCTAGACCTTGGTCTAAACCTCATGTCTCAAATACAGGGCTGCGAAACCGAACCGCCTCTTTTTATTGGCTTTGAACGAAACCACGAATTAAACCGCTTCTATTTTAAAATGCGAAAAACGAACCGAAAACGACTCAACGATTGAGAGAAGATCGTTGGCGAAGTTTCGACGAAGAAATTCCAGAACCACCCTACATTTAAATTTTTTTCATTTAATTTTTTTTTATTAATCTACATTTTGTCATGCTGCATACATATGTACTTGTATATGTATATTATAATAAATATTGGTATCTTCCATACTAGGTGTGGTAAATGTAGGTATTCAGTTTTGTAATCAACGCTGTAAAGTTTTAATAAATATTGTACACGAATTTGATCTAAATTACGAAGCCTTTTATTTTCGTAGATACATAGTGATTTTTTATATCAATTAGTATAAAAAACTGATTCCAACCGAACCGAACTGCGGTTCAGAGATACTCATAAGACGGTTCTTGAACCGGTATAAGTATTTTTCGAGTGGTTTGAACCACTGAACCGACTAGAATTGATTTTTGTAGTGGTAAGCAGTCCTGCTCAAATATATTGAACAGAAAACTATGTCAATAAAAATATCAATGTCAAGACTTATTCGAGATGATCTCCACATGAAAGCTTACCGTCAGTGAAAGAGAAAACAGTTTTCACTATTGAAAAAGCTTTAATAAGCAAAACGACAAGATCTACTCATAAAATTCCATAGCTCAAAAAATGTTATTCCAAAGCTTTAAAGTGATCACCATCTAGCTGCTGTAATACTTTGGTGTGGAGTATTCAGTAAACACGTTACACCTCTTCCCTTCTCTGAAAAATGGGTTGAAACTAAAGCAAAAGTGTACCATCGGGATGTTTTAGGTAGATAGGAGTGCTACGCCTACGGGGTCAGTTAGCGCTAAATGCGCCATTTTGATATGATGTTTTAGAAGGCGTGGTAAAGCAGTTAAACAATACTCTCTTCGATGGAAAGCATTAGATCTTCCAGCAAGATTATGCTCCAACACACAAGGCAAAAACCACCCAGCAGTGGCTTAAAAGCAATATTCCTGGTTTCATAGCTGCAGTGAATTGGCCGTCTGGAAGTCCAGATCTAAATCCATTAGACTACAGTTTGTGTTCAGAGTTAGGAAATATGGCCTGTCGAATACCGTACAGAAATTTGAAGAGTCTCAAAAGGCCTTTGGTTCGGGCAGTGTCGTCAATACCAATAGAAACTGTGCGTGTGTAAAAGCATAATATGACCATTTCGAATAAAACTTTGTAAAGCGTTTATTTAATATATGCTATATTAAAATTTATTTTAAAATGTATTATAATGGCCTGAGCTTGTAAGAGAACTTATGGCAATACTAAGAATATGTGCTGCAGTTTTTAATATCCTACTCACTGCAAACCCACTCCAGGAGTAGTTACAAAACGTGTTGGTAAACCTTTCTACGCATTTGCGAATTTGGCAACTCAGTAATTGCTAGCGCTTCTCTTCTGTATTAAATTCTTATGATAGATTTACATGACTTTTAAGGACATGATAAACCCTTTGTTCAAATAACACTCACTGAATTATAAAAATCTGATTTTGGTGAATGCCGTTTGATGTTTTTGTAAAAGAAGTTTGTTCAAAAACGTAAAATTAAATTACGCCTTTGACTTTTTATTTTCCCATATTATATGTATTATTAATAAAGAGTATTACTGTATGTATGTGTTTATTATTTATAAAAAAAATTAATCCATAATATAGCTTACAAAACTTTTAATTTTTTTCAGATTTCCATAAAACTCATCCCTATGTTATTTCCGGAAGCGTAGATCAGACCGTAAAGGTTTGGGAATGTCGTTAATTTCATTAACGGTTTACATTTATCTTTACCTATAAGCAGGTGACATTATTTGAATTTCAGAAGTAAAATTATATCTATTAGATTATCATACATATGTAATTCAATACGATATAATATATTTATTTAATAATGATTATAGTATAACGAAAATCTTATTAAAATATTATTTATTTTAAACCAAGAACTAGAGCAACTGATGAAAAATTTAAAGAGCAAGTATATTAATGTAATATTATAATTAAAGTAAATAACAAAGCTTACAGTCGATAAATATAAATAGATTCATATATAACAGTTCTATACAATGTATGCTTTTAAGACTTTTTTAATTATAATTTAAAAAATGGATTAATATTCCGTATATTTGAAGATATATTGCTAATACTATCGTTGATATATATAATAAAAAAGTCAAATATACCTATAATAAAAAATAACATCGAAATATGAGTTCTACTAATTTATATTATGCTAAATACACGAACTAATTTCTGTTTTAAAACTCGTAGTAATAGTGCTGATTCCCATTAATAATCACTGAATATTTCATTGTAAAAACATTTTATACATATAGCGTCATCAGAATTTTAAGTATATTACATGTTTTCAGACAGCAGTCCACATAAAGATATTTAAAAGAGAATCAAGATTTGAAACTGTATTTTTTTTATTGGTAACTAGATTTTCTCGCGGCTTCGGTCGCATTGAATTCCTTAAATAAATATTAAAATTAATTAATAATAACAAGTAGGGAAGGGCTAAGTTCAGATGTAACCGAACATTTTATACTCTCGCAAAGTCAAATGGTATACTCGTTTGAGATTTCTTTGTGGATTGACTGATATTTTCGGTAGAAGGTCAACTATAGGCACTGGGGTCCACATATTTAGTACTTAGGGGCTTGAACAGTTTTGATTCCATTTGGACAATTTTTGGTCACAACGTGGCATACTTTAAATATATATGTCCTTTCTAATACAATAAGACATATGTATACAAAATTTCATGATGATCGGTTACGTAGTTTCAGCGTGAAAGCGTAATCAACATACTTACAACCACATTTATAATATTAGTATAGATTATACTTGTGTTTGTTTTTTGGTAATTATGTTTTTATAGTAATTCGATATTCATTAGCTTATGCAAAATTGTGCTTATGACGACGCATTATTATATATGACGGATCCTGAAGAGTAATCCTAAAAATTGCGACAGTTGTTTCGAAGTTATCATATAATAAATAAAATAGGAACGATTGGAAACGACCACAATAAACCGATTGAGTCTCTCTATATGCTGGTATATTATAACAGAATTTTCTTTGCGGTTGCTTACTGAAGCAAACATGCTTGAAAACGCCGTTTACATCCCTGAGTTAAGGGGGTATTCTGGTTTAGAAATTTAAAAAAAAATGATTTTTTTGCATATTATAATAGTATGACCCTTTAAGAATATGCCCCTTAAAAGATTTTTGCACATTTTCAATTATTTTCGGAGTTTCGGCGGCAAATTCTTACCATTTGAGAACAACCTAACTCCAAAACGTTGTATGGAAGTTGTTGTTGGTAAATTAAATTTCCGATGGTAGATTTTCAGCAACTTGCAGCAAACGTGGCTGAGTAATAAATTTTTGACAACTCAACATCTTATTGGTTACAACTACTGGCGGGTAGTTTTTTTTCGATTCAGATGATGTACACATTATTAAACCGATATCGATAGAGTTCCTAGCGAAATACAGCTGCGGAACTGCTAAGAGACGAATGTTACCATTAGTCCTGAGCTGGGCTTCAACCGCCCAAAAGATGCAATTTTGTACAGTTGATCATACAGTTGTTTATCTAGGCTCGCGACTATTTGATGCTGGAAAAGCTTATGTAGCACTTAGTCGGGTAAGATCTTTAGACGGTATCCAGATTGAAGAACTTGATTGCTTCAAGTTAACAGGAAAAACCACATGCAAAAGTGGACCTTAGATGGAATGACTAGTTACGAAATAGTTCGTAAGACAATTCAATACTACCGCATATCCGCGATTAATTAATTGATAAATCAAACTAAATAATTAAAGATAAATAATAGCTTAAAAAACTATTAAAACCACGCTTTTAACGCTAATCGAACTAAAAAGTAGAAAATAATTTTTTATTAAATACAAAGAGTTTATATTATAATAGTAGCAGATCAATATTAAGAGAATAACTCAATTCAATTCATTATGATGGATTGTTTGATCTGCTACTACTATAATATAAAAGTGGCCTATTATTCTCCGGATTTTAATGCTGTGGATTTCTGTATATGGGGATGTATGATGGGGAAATTAATAAATGTAAAAAACTTAAAACCGGACCAGTTTAAGCGCCGTTTTCACAGAATTTGGAACGAAATTCGAGAAGAGGTTATGCGTGCTATAGTTTCCAAGCCCGTGTAAAGCATTTGAAAGCAATGAAAGGCTAATGATTTGAATTAAATAAGCAAGTCTATAGTTTACCTAATAAATAAAACAAGTTTTCATCCCAACTTTAATATACATTTGTTATTTTTTGCGGAAAATTAGGTACCACCCTGTATATTACATCGACGAAGATTTTGGTGCCAAACTAATGGGCTATGCGAAAAAGCCTTCGTGATTATTCAAACCCATTGAATGTTTCTAACACCAAGTAAGCCAAAGTTTTAATGAGAATTAAATGGCTTTTCATTCATTCATAAGTTACTTTTGTTTAAAGAATTAAAAATTTGGTTTTTTACTAAATGGTGAAGGAACATTATCCCAAATTCTCCTTGCAGCCGGTAGAATGAATTTTAAATGATTTTAACTTTTAGCTGAAGCAACCTACGATATTTATGGTTGCCTGTTCCCAGACAGTGGGGTCCAGGTAGGTATTTAAGTATTTTCCAGCTAAGGACTGTCAATTCGGCACAATTCCTCGAAATTACTTCAGGAATGTTTTCTGCCACTACAACAAATATGGTTGTAAAAAACCTATTAAATATCATTAACACGATATTGGGCGTAGAGGGCCTTAATTCTGCAATGGACAGTGCAGAACGCGACAAGTAGCCGGAACTTGTTTCTTGGGATATTGATTACATTTTTAAACCTTCTGAGGTCGTAACCTCCCATTAGCAACATGGCAAGGTGCATTCCTTGGAGCTGTTGCCAATATCTCTCCCTGCCAGCTCTTTCCTCACTACGGAGTAGCTCCTTATTTGTGCGGACCAACCCCGACGAAAGGTTCTGGTCCTACCATTCTTGTGGAGACTGCAGAGCGGGCCTGCTCGTCAGTTAGTTCATTACCGGCTATACTCTTATTGACTCGACTCCGTCCATATACGGCTATTTTGGTTCTTTACATTTTCGTTTAGATCAAAATGGACCTCATCAGGTAATTTACAAGTTATTGTCTTCTTCGAATAATTTTTTGGCGAAATTACAGGCGAATTGGCAAATCTAGAGGGTCTTACCGGCTTGTTATTTGAACTTTGTACGGAAACAGGTTTAAATCATCATGAATTATCCGTTGTAATGACCGCCTGCTAACTCCAGGTTTTGCCGATATGTTGCGAGTGGAAACTCTTGGATTTGCCTGAATTGACGATCCAATAGCCGCGATTGTTTCTTGAACGCGAACATACTGATTTCAACGGTACGGTGTTCCAACGATACTTCCAGATTCGGCAAACATGATTACCCACCTCATAATGGTCCATCTACTTGGGGGAGGGCCGCCAAAATCCTGTCTGAATTTCCTTTAGACAGAAATGACGGACTGCAAAGCAAGGTACCGCTGCACTATCCAAACCCTTTTGTCGGTATCCCAAACATTAATTTTTAAAAAATATAAATAATAAGCTGCCTAATAAAAAAAAATTCGTCGATTACGAGTACTCGTACAGAACAAAAGTTTTCACAGTTTGTTTTTGTAGCACGATTCGTGAGCCACCCTGTAGATTTGAGATTTCGGCATACAAAAATAAACTTTTGTTAATCTCCTCACCGATGATATTTTTAACTCGAAATCTCCCTGTGCGGCTCTGATTTAGCGCCATTACTTTTTCAGTCAGGTTTCCGACATCACATTATCACAGCTGAATTAGACACTACTAGCTGTCACATTCAAAAAAAAATTAAACAAACAAACCAAACAAAAAGTAAAAAAAGAAAGGCATTGCAAGTAAATAAGTGAAGATGGCAGAAAATGTTATCAAAACAACTTAATGTGAAAAAAAATGCCACAGCTGCGATCGGCTCTCATAAGATAGGTCGTATCAGCTGATTCGGTTCACGGTTTTACGTCGGCCACTAACTGAAGCATTAGAGTACAGAAGGTTACGACAACAGCATACGTCATCGAACCAAGCATTATAGAATACAAGATTACGATAACCGCCATCTTGTGACGTAATTCTTTTGAGTTTGGAAGACGAAGTATAGAACAACATGTAAATTGTAAACAAAAACTTAAACACTTTTGTTAATTCGTGAAATAGACTTAATTTATTAGTTTATAATAAAATAAATAAATAAAATGTGGGGGGAAAATATTTTGGTAATTTTTTAATAAATAATTGATGACAACATAATTTAAATTGATTAAAAGGGATTAAAACAAAAGATTATGGATATCTACAACAAAAGACAAATTACCGTTTTTTTATCATGGTGGAAGAGCTGCAATAGCAATGACATATTCACAAGATGAATTCTGAAGACTTTCGTTGAACTGTTTGGAAACTGTTGATAAAAAAATGTTTAATTTTTTCGCCAAAGGAACGGCTTATCAATATACTCCCTTAATTGACTTTGTCGAACTCATTCTTAGGAACTCACAGATGCAGTAATATGAAAATTAAACAGTTTGCTGTTACCTAAAATTTGTTAGACAATAATGAGAACGTCATTGTATTAAACTCCAATTGTGTCGTCAAATATTGTTCAAATATCTTGAAACATGGGGTGCGTTCGAGATGGCAATCATGTTCTGCGTGAATTTTTGGCAACAGTTGCAACAGCATCACGTTCTGCTGTCATTTTTTGCATGCAATGTACGCAAGTAATCGGCAACACTAAATTTCTTTATTCTGCACATCTGCAGAGTATCAGCAAATATGCAACATAGTAGCTGTACTGCCGCAATTATTACGTAGCTCGAACGCACCCATGCTTATCATTGATATGCTGAGGTAGTACAAAACGTACATACTCGTATATACAAACATATATACAGTTATATGCAACACACATAAATTTATATGCAATACGCATGCACTCAACAATTGAAAATACAAACATATTTTCTTAGGTTAAGATGTATTCATATGATAACTTGTTGACCTAAGATATATATTTATGCACTATAAATATGTGCACTTAAACACACAAAGAAGAAACCCATGTCCCATATCGCATAAAATAGATAACATACGAACACATACATACGCACATGGATGTACAATTAAAAACAACCCCAAGTCGTGTAACGAAACATTCAAACATACACATGTACACATACTTTAAATAAGAATTAAAATAGTATATAAGGGCAAACAAAATTAAAATAAAATTAGAATGAAAATATTCTCAACTCAAGATTTTCTGTCCCCCACCAGCGGTAAGACATTTAGAAACTTAAATTGAGTTTAACCATTGGTCCTTCGAGCCGGATAAGGAGCTCGGCCAAAATAAGTCCTAATATACATGCAGGCAAACCAATCAAAAAAAGACCTGTATTTAAAAACAGGCAAAAACCAAAGTCCTGTAATTTACACGGGCATAAAAAGCCCTGTTAAAAATACAGGCTAATTTAAACAAAAAACAACAACAATAAGACGGGTGTATAATCCCCCAGTTTTAATTGACCATCTTAAATTGAGTTTAACCATTGGTCCTTCGAGCATTAATAAAGAGCAAAGCCAAGGTTATAAGCCTTGCTATTCACAAAAATACACGCAAATTAAAAAAAAAACAATAAGACGGGCTTCCCGCAGCTTTAATTGATCATCTTTATTGAGTTTAACCATTGGTCCTTTGAACATACAGGCAACAAAAACAAAGACCTGTATTTATAAAACAGGCAAAACCAAAAGTCCTCTAATTTACAAAGGCATAAAAAAGACCTCTTAAAAATACAGGCAAATTAAAAAAAAAAAAAAAATCGGTGTATATTACCGCAGTTTTATTTGATCACATAAGCCGTTTTAGAACTAAACGCAGTGTTGTCACTATGATGAAAACAAATCAAGAAGTTCAAGTTCAATCCCATGGCTTAGATAAAAAAAACGTATCAAATTCGTCAGCTGATAGTAAGCAGGTCACAAAACTAATAAGATTAAAGAGAAAACAAACAATGGACGGAGAAGTTGAAGCTTTTTATTTAATTTTACAAGTTTCTGCAATGCAGAAAGGTAAGTATGGTTTAATAGCAATGAACATGACAATATTATAATTTTTTTCTTATAGAAACGCTAACAAACGAGGCTTTGCACACTTGAGGAACACGAAGGATCAATTTTTATTAGAGGAATCCCTGTTTAGGAGATATTTTCGCTTTCCGAAATCATTGTGTTTGGAGCTTATACAGGATTTTAAACCTCCCGATAATCGTTCGAGGAGGTCAGCTTTTCCTTTTGAGATTCGGTTGAGTGTTCATGCATTTAAATGAAGATTTTTTACTAAATATTGGTATACTATTTCTAGTTCGTTTCAGTGCTAAATTTATTTTGACATACCAATACATACTGCATTAGAAATAGTCATTTATCTGCTATGAGCCAGTCAGGCATGTCCAGAAATATAAGACAAACATATGTATGCATATGCAAACTTGTGATGGAACATAGAAATGTGGAAATAAGTTTCCTAAATGCAACAGAGCATTACAATATCATTAAAAGGGGGAAAAGTATATACATAGGAAATAATAGGTGAAGTGAATTAAAACATGTGTATAAAAACATAACTATATTTCTAGTTTCTATAATAAATCCGGAATTAAAGGAGTGAGTGGTGTTATTGACTGCACTCATATTACAATAATTGCACCGTTTTCGTCGGCTAATGTTATACAACACGTATCCATGAACAGAAAGGGCTACTATAGTATTAACGTTGAGGCGGTAGGTTAAAATATAAGTTTAAAATAGTGAAGTAATATTTTTATAAATTTTAGATTTTTGATGACAAACTTATTTTTCGTAATTTGAATGCGCGTTTTCCTGGCTCATGCCATGACTCCGGAATTTAGAGAACAACTCCAGCCAGAATAAAAGAATTAAGAGGGTATGTTTCTGGATCGTTTTAATATTGTAGGTTTTTGATGACTCAGGATATCCACTGAAGCTATGACATCTAATTCCTACACCAAACCCATATCTACCAAATGAAGTTCTTTATAACAAAATCCATATTAAGGCCAGGAACACTATTGAAAGAGCATTTGGATTTGGATTGTTAGATTTTATTTACTTATAAAAACGGACTTATTTATATACCTATCGTGTTTCAAAGACAACATTTTATTTTTATTGGTAATTATGCTTTTTGACTTCGTTGAAGAAAATTTAATATTTTAGGAGGGTCTTTCCAAAGGAGGATATTTTTATTTTTTGTTAACTAAGTATGCAGTATTGTTCTTAGTGCTAATATATTATACATAACTTCGTCACTCGGAATATGATCTAAACGAGATAGTTTCCAGTGTAGTGCGAGTGTTTGTTTCAAAACGGGATACTTTTATCCATAAAAATATAGCTTTGTTCATTTCATTTCATATGCACACATTAATGACCTATGGTGCGTTGAAAACCCGATTTTTAATTTTACCCACTGTTTTATTTCTTATAACTAACAACAGGGTAAGCTCCCAGCTTAGCATACATGGTTAGAGCTTTCACTCTAAAGAGAGAAAGCAATATCCGTAAATGATGCAAACCATAATTACCATCAAATATCCTTTCTTACCGAATATCTGTAAAATTCGTCAAATTTTCCCAGCTATACGGTAATGTTTTAAGAACCAAGAATGATCAAATACAATATTACGCTAATTCTTATGAGATGAGAAGAAGTAACATAGAACAGCATGTAAATTGTAAACAAAAACATAAACACTTGTTAATTCGTGAAAAAGACTTAAGTTATTAGTTTATAGTGAAAAGGCTTTAGGGAAATGAATAGAATAATGTTGAGTCACAATCGCTTTTAACCAATTTTGACAATTATTTCCTTGTCTACAAATGGCGTCTTGAATCCAGCTTCTTTAAGATTTTGAAGGCGTCAGCGATATATCAATTTAAATATTTTATTCAATGTGAAATTTGTTGTGCAAAAAACAAGCAAAAATATGATGATGATATAGATTTGAATAATTTTTGCAGTTCACAAATTAATGGCGACAGCGATAACTGCAAGCCTGCTACCGTGAAGTCGTGATGCAAAATCACATCATCAGAAGACCTTATCGTTGTCCCTTATTTATCTTTACTTCGTAGAACGAAATGCAACATAATTTCGCGAGGATCGTATGTTTTGAATTAAGGGTCAAAAGGTAATATGTATTTTTTTTTTTTAATTTTCTTATTATATTTTGGTTGTGATGAAGAAACTTTCCTTCTTTTTTACAATATTATGTATATAGTAGAGATATACGAAAAAAGGGATATTTACAACACCACAACACTAAAAGGGATATTTACAACAGAGTACGAAATTAAAGGTGATATTTACAAAAAAGTACACAACGAATTGAGATGTTATTAAAGTTTTGTGTCAAAAGAGAATATTATGTTTTTTTTAGAAATCTAAATGACAAGATCCTATTTTTGTCAAAATGTGTAGTTAGGACAATGTAATGATATAGTTCCTAAACAGAAATACTACTTTTCAGTAGGTTTGTAAATATTTTTCTTATAACGTTTTCTCATTTTGTGAAAAATAAGTTATGATGTAAAGGGTTTTCCAATGGAGATGATGTGATATCTAAGTGTCGTTTCGGCCATTTTTATTATATCATGATCTGTAGGTTTTTTCATTGTATTCAGTAATATTTGCAATTTCATTATGGAAAGATTTACGCAAGAACAACGTTTACAAATTATTCAGTTTTATTATCAAAGTAATCGTTCTCCAATTGCAACTGTTCGTGCGCTTTTGCCGTTTTATGATCGTTATAAGTGTCCACCTGTGCTCGCTATTCGTCGAGTTGTTGAAAATTTCGAGCATACATTTGCTTTACATAAGTGAATGAAAATATTGCTGCTGCTCAGGAAAGTGTTGCTCAGGAATTAGGACTGTTCCTAACCTCACTCTGGCAGAATTAGAAAAAGGATTTGGGCTTGCATCTGAAGCCATTGGACTACCGTAGACATCGTGTATTTGCTGATTTTGCCTGCTGCTTGCTGGTCTTACTTCTTTCCAAATGAAGCTGGTGACACCGTTACTCTCAATGGAGAGCGGTATAGATAGATGATAACTAACTTTGTATGGCTGCAATTGGAAGAAGTTGATCTTGACAACATCTGGTGCAACAAGACGGGGCTACGTGCCACACAGCACATGCAACAACCGAATTATTACGAGAAAAGTTTGAAGATTCGATAATTTTTAGTAATTGTGACATTGAATGGACTCCAAGAAGTTGTTATTTAACACCATTAAACTACTTCTTGCGGGAAATTTGAAGTCATTGGTCTTCAGCAACAAAGCAAACTCATTTCAAGCCTTAGAAGTCAATACTGAACGTGCTATTCATGACATACGATTCGATTTAGTGGAAAAAGTACTCGCAAATTAGGTTCATCGAATTCGTTCCTGCAAAAGAAGTCGTGGAGGCCATTTGAATAATGTTATATTCAGAACTTAATTGTTTGCATTGTACTTCACATTTATTAGAAAACATTTCAATTTCTTTAACAATTTGAGTGTTTTTTTCTGTCAGTTTTATCTACATCTCTAAACAACGAAATGTAACCGCTGATTAGATCCGATCAATTCGAAAATTCTTTGTGACTGTCACCTACTGAATTACAAAATCTTCTTAAGTCACAAAAATGTTCTCTAATTTAAAATCTAAAATTTAAACTGTATCAAACTGAATTTCTCTATTAGTTTTTTAAATGTTGTGTGATGACATCGTATTTACCTTTACTGTAGGAGAGTCAACAACATACAACACTAAACTACTGTGTTCAGCGAAAGTTAAAAACAACTAAAATGTTACAGTTATACTCACGCGTGATGCAAGCCTTTAGTACCATTATTTTTTGTAACTGCGATAAGCACGCGGAAATTTTTTATTTGTTAGGTGATAATGGAGTTGTCAAGTAACAAATGTGATCATGCGGCCAGAAAATATGCAAAAATGTTTAAATATATTAAAGAACGAGCAGATTGCGTTATTGCTTTTAAACATATTGAATTGTTTTTAAATTATAATATTTAGTTACTTTAATAAAGCTACAATTAATTGAAAACAAAAATGTAATCAATAAAATCGTTGTATTTTTTGGTTTTCGGCGTCATTTAAGAATGGATCACTGTGGGGTGTTATAGTATTTCTCGTCATTGTATACATTTGTGCTTATGCGAACTGGCTGAGCATGCGAGAGAAGACTGCATTCGTGGGAACAATTGTAGCAGAAAACATGTAATTGATGAGAGAGAAGATCATACCATGAAAAGAAAAGTGTAAAAAGAAAATCGTATAGAATTTGCAAAAGATTCCAAAACGAGCATGTGTAAACATATATCGTCATATAAAATCAAAAAAGCCCCAAGCTACATTTTAATTTTACATCATAAGCAAAAAACCTAGCAGGTTTTATTAGAAATGCAGGGTGGCGCACGAATCGTGCTACAAAGACAACCGTAATAACTTTTTTTCTGTGTGAGTAATCGACTTAATTTTTTTTTTATTTGTGAGGTTATTATTTACTTTTTTTTTAAATTTATACTTGCGAAAAGAGGGTTTGGAAAGTGCAGCGGTACCGTGCTTTGCAATCTGTCATTTCTGTCCAAAGGGGATTCAGACGGCAGTTTTGCGGACCCACGCGAGTAGATGGACCATTATGAGTTTGTAAACATGTTTGGCGAATCTGAAAGTATCGCAAGAAGACCGTACCATCGAGATCCGAATGTTCGTGTTCAAGAACAATCGCAGCTGTTGCACCATCAATTCAGACAAATCCAAGAGTTGCGACTCGCCACTTGGAGTTAGCAGACGGTCATTTCAACGGATAATTCATGATGACTTAAATCTGTTTCCGTACGAAGTTAAAATAACAAGCCGGTTAAGATTTTCGTATTCGCCTGGAATTTTTCCAAAAAGTTATTGAAGTGGCCGAAGAAGACAAAAACTTGTAAATTGCCTGATTATGTCTGATGAGGCCCATTTTGATCTAAACGGAAATGTTAAGAAACAAAGTTGCCGTATATGGAATGAATCAAATCCAGAAATAATCCACGAGACAGAACTTTACCAAGAACGAGTCTCTGTGTGGTGTGCAGTTTCATCAAGGTGTATTGTCGGGCCATACTTTGAAGAAAACGGTGTAACAGTAACTGCCAATAGGCACCGTTATTTTAAAATTATTTTTTACCCAGAACTGCGCCGAAGACGTATTTCTTTCAATAGCGTTTGGTTGCAGCAAAATGGAGCAACTGTACACATAACCAAAATGGTTATTGCCGAGCTCCAAAGAAATTTTAAAAACAAATTAAAATCAATAAACTCTACTTTCCGCTGGTTCCCAAGGTTACCTGACCTGACTGCCCTTAACTTTTTTATGGGGTTATGTCAAGCAAGAGGTGTACAAAACAAAACTCAGAAATCTGACTGAATTTGAGGGGTAACCCACTTCAATCTCTTAGACCGCAATGAATATTTTTCAAATTAGGCGTCGCATATGCATGGCTGAGTGTGGAGGTTAAATAATTAATTATATAAAATTAAATAAAACTCGCTATACAATAAAAAAGGCTAGGTAAGTAATGCATTAATTAAAAAAAGTTATAACGGTATATTTTTGTAGCACGATTCGTGCGCCTCCCTGTATAACAAAAGAAAAACTGATAAAGAAGAACACATTGTTTATTATTTCTCTAAAGGCGTAAGTTACTGTCTTGGTCGGCAAATTTGTTACGCTTGCACTTAGGGCTTAGTAAATTGTGTTTATAGCAACGTTATTATTGGTTGTTGGATTATAAAATTTTAACGGAATGTGTATTACATAATCAATTAAAAAATCGATTTTGAATTTTTTGTAACTTAGGGTTTTTTAGATTTCATGGGACGATATATTTATAAACATTTATTTATTTATTTATTCCAGGATACAAAGTACATATTACATACAAAGTATGCACCTATAGAGGTGTTACAAAACACCTGTACATAGGCCTGGTAATATTAGTTTATTATAATTAAGTACTAATCTATTAATAACAAATGTCATTTATAATTGAAAAACAAGACAAAACATAGTATTTTTAAAT